CCTACAACTTGTTTCAAGATCAAGATTTTAAATCATAAACGCATGTAAAATGTTTTATGTTCGTGATCTTTCCAAATGAGAAAATTTTCCTCGTTCCAGATGATGAGAATTTTTCTTAGACTACGATCTAGAACAGATGTCTAGATTCCAGAGTTATGAACATTTGTCTATGTATCCTGATGAATGTGGACGTCTTAGTGGAATACCTGTATAATGAGAGAGAGAAGGATTAGTATTTTCCATTTAATTCCACTACTTTATTTGCTTATCCTTGACAGATACGCGTATTTCGTCTACAATGTGCAGACTTCTTCAGTGTCTTGTACTAATACTCGACTGAAGAAAAACATCGCATTTACCGAATATATATTAACACAGGTACATTTTCACTTAGAAACTTTCCGTTTAACTACGCTGAAGATATCGTCAACAAACCTCCACTAACGGTTTGGTAATAGTCCTTTCTCCTTCAGGGTTGTCTCCAAGTTGGCCATGAAAAGTTCACACAAGAAGGGGGATAGGGGGTTTCCCATTGGGGCTCCTTTCGTCTGCTTGTAGAAGTTACCTCGGAAAGAGAAGTAGTTCTCTTCCATACAAAGGCGGGTCAGCTTAAGGTACGTCCGAACCTTGTTTCTCCATGCTGCATCCTCTCGTTGTGTTAATAGCCAGTCCTCCAAATGGTTGATCGCTTCCTTGACCGGTACGCTGGGAAAAAGAGCTGTGGACCAACAAGCACAAAAAGAGTTATCCCCTATACTTCCAACCATTCGTTCCAGCAGAAAATGGCCGGCTTTCACCACATGATTCACCGAATGCAGACTCTTCCACTCAGCGATACAGGAAAGGTTAAGGAGTTACAGTACATCTTCGAAACAGCAAGACTCAACGGATACAAGGAGACCACAATCCAGGCAATCATCGAAAAAAAAGCGAGAATTCTACAAAGGAGATTATTTACAACCCTCACCTCAGCACCTGAACCATTGAAACGAGTGTCCGTTCCATTTGATCAAGATATTACTTGTAAGCTAAGACCACAGTTAAAACAATTCGAATTAGATTTAGTTTTCACCAGTAGACATAACCAGTTGAAATCATTGTTAGGATCCATTAAAGACCCAGTTAATGTTTTAGGTAAAGCAGGTGTATATAAAATAAGCTGTAATCATTGTAACAAAGTATATGTAGGACAAACCAAAAGAACTTTAGCAACTAGATTTAAAGAACATATAGCGGAGGTTAATAAGGCCAAAAAGCAAGAGGAAAAAGGCCTAACATGTGATTTCAAATCAAAGGTTGCAGAACACATCTTCACAGAGGACCACCAACTATCGACGGAGGACATCACGATTTTACGAACCGTATCCACACCATGGAAATTGGATGTTGCAGAAAGCCTCGAGATCAACAAACAACGTAATTAAACTTTACTCAACAGGGATCAAGGAAACGGACACACATGGCTTTTCAAGTTACTACCTAGGACACATCAACGAGTAAGCAGCGGAGTACCTGTTCCTATAGAAAATTAAATTTAAGTTTACCTAGTTTCTAAGTGAAAATGTACCTGTGTTAATATATATTCGGTAAATGCGATGTTTTTCTTCAGTCGAGTATTAGTACAAGACACTGAAGAAGTCTGCACATTGTAGACGAAATACGCGTATCTGTCAAGGATAAGCAAATAAAGTAGTGGAATTAAATGGAAAATACTAATCCTTCTCTCTCTCATTATATTTGTCTATGTGTTATATAAGTTTTAATATTCGACATCTTTAAAATTGCCTGCCTTAATATTGTCAAAATTAGTCGGAGACATTGAACATTTTCCTCTGCGCCTTTAATTTTTTCCAAGTCCAAGATTTCTTAATAAATGTCTATGTTCAATCTTTCACATTCCGAAATTCATTGTAATAACCAATTTGCGATCTGAATCTAAATTCATCTTAGTAAATGGTTTGTTTCCAAAAAATCGAGGCAGAAAAATGAGTACTGTGTGAGGAAATAGAGGGTAGAAACAAACCATGCTCTGGATTATTCAATTAATGCTGATTTTTCGAAAACAAATTTATGGAATCCTTCAACCAATTGTTTTATTTAAAACACTTAACACCACTGCGACCAGTAATTTGATCTATTGTAGTATATCCCGTGTAGTGCATGTCGTGTCCATCACTATTGAGAAATGATGAAGTATTCGATTTTTTACGGTTGTCATTATCGCATTTACCGCAAGGATCCGACTCTAATTGAAAGGTCCCGCTCTTTATACCCTTCGGAGTGTTGAAACACCCACCAAAGGTGCGCCCCTTTGTCAGCCAAAATTAGATTCCTTAGCAACAAAATTGAGGAGTGACACCAATAATGACCATGCATCAGAACCCTAGTCTTAACCACTTAAAACTAGGGAACAACGAATTGAAGATTAGGAATCACATAGATGAAGACTAACTAACTAATTTGTTTCTTGTTTCAAGATCATCCTCGGTAGACAAAGCCGAGTCTTGTCACTATCAACAAGGCATAAAAAGTAACAAGGACTAAGATGTGTTCCTTGGATTACTGAAAAATTCTGTTGCCCTAATTTGAAGTAGTCAGGACTAGGAATCGGTGGTAGATCTTACATCCCGTAACGTACCACGAAAAGGTGATCTACCCACGTTACGGGGCAAAAAAAACTTGAAAAATGCTCATGGTATGTTGTGAGTTTATAATATTTCTCAAAACGGGTCACAATCAACGAAACATTGGATCCATATTTTTCATATCTGTCGGATCAATAAATTTCATAAAAATGAAATAAAAAGTTTAAGTAAAAAACTAAATTTTTCAGGAACACCCTAAGCCACCATAATTGCTCTTAAACGAGAATATCAGTTCGACATCTATATTTAAGAATTCAATATTGCCAATAAGGAGCTGCACCATCGAGTTAACCTCACTTGTTTTGACATCTGATGGTGGTTTGTTTACAAAGACTTACAAAAAAAAAATGATTTTTATTTAAAATGAATTTTTTTAGGGCGGTTGATTTTTAAAAACACGATGTTAGATAACATATCTTTTAGTCCTTTTTATTTTAAAACTCGAATCCAGTTGAATCGACTAACAGGCAAACGTGAACAAACCTCCACTGGATGTCAAGCTGATGAACGCGGGTTCTTCGCGTTTATCCGTGACGTCAGCGTGCAGCATCCTATTCAGAGAAAAATTAATATTGCATTTAGTGTTGCCAAAATTATCAATCAAATGATATTTTTCCGCTCTCATACGGTCTCAATATCACGCATGATATTGGACAAAATATCATGCATGATACTGATTTTACAAGCTCCTTTGATATTGCGAGACTATTCACAACGTGTAAAGTTGAAGCTGAGAGTTGAATCATAGAGGTAACTCTAAGACCAGAAGGTCCCGAAGAAACGTGCTCTACTTTTTGGCTCAGTTCTGGTACTCTCTTCGGTCGCAAGCTAATTGATGTACCCCTCGAAACATAGGAAAATCCACGAACCCCTCATTTTATCTGTCAAACTTTCATAGAGATTGCTAAAGTATGACTGTGTCAGTGATTTGTTTTCATCGGGAAAATTTTCCGCTGTGAAGTTTTTTTCCCGATGAAAACATTTTGCGTATACGTATACGTGGCGTAGTGTGCGTACGTTAAACGTCAGCAAGCTCTGTAGCGAATCAAAACAAACAGTGTAGTACTAGAATTTCCACTAGAATGGGGTACGTTAATCTATTTGCTTGGGACTTGGCTAGTCAAGTAGTTAGCCCATTTTAAATCTATAGTTTCGTATAGATTGTTGGTTGAATCGGCGCAAAAATTATTCAGTTGCACTTCCCTTTTTTTAGAAAGAGGAGGAATAATAAATCTCTTTTTTCTCGTCACCGATCGCAAACAAGAAGCGAATACTACCAGCCGTTATGGAATTTAAAGTTGCGTTCGGGAGAAAAACAAAAATCATGTGAAACTCAATCTCACCGCAGCTTGGTGAAATTTGCAGCTGGTGAGTTTTGTTAGCTTGATATTCCGAGCTGCGATAACACAGCTTGCAATATCAACCGCCTTTGTTTGCGCGTAGATTTTTGTCAACAAAGATTAACAAGCGTGATCTTGGGCATTAATGAGATTTGATATTTTCCCAACAGAGCTTTTTGACGTTTAATCGGCGCACACTAATGCACCATTTAAATTGTATGAGTGCGAGCAAGCAGGAAACAGATTAGTGGGAATACAAACCATCCCTTCAACCCTGTGTGCTAAATAGAGAAAGACGATTAAACGTCAAAAAGGTCTACACTGATTGCATTTGACAACGGCAGCATGCTTTATAGGGGGTTTACACTTAGGCTAGTTGACTAACGCTAATAAGCTCGCTGCTAGCAAAAACGCTCACCAGCATGATAAGAAGTGTTGACATTATGCTAATACGCTGGTGAGCGGATGCTGAGAATGTTCATTATGTAAACGAAGTCAAAAGAGGATTTTTTGTTGATGAGTTCGTCTCGTGACCAGTTAATTGCTTAATTTAAAAAAAAATGGCTGTTGTGTGTTGCTTATAAGCAGGCTTGAAATTGCTCATTACAACCAAAATGCTATTTTTCGTTACTTTGAAACAATGGGATACTATAATGATAATTTTTATTTGTAAGATGCAAGAAGAGGTGGTAAAGATTGTATATCCAGAACAACATGTGAAAAGGGCATACAAGCTTTTTGTAAACAAACCTTTGTAGGCCCTTTTCTCACCAACCGAGGGTCGCCCACGCAAACCAGGAATATCATCGGTAAGGGGAAAGTGTCCCCTACCCGGTGATGTTAAAGGTTTGCGTTGGTGTCATATGGGTGGCGAGAAAAGGGCCTACAAAGGTTTGTTTACAAAAAGCTTGTATGCCCTTTTCACATGTTGTTCTGGATATGACATATAAAATTTGTCAATTTTGCTTTCAGAAGGTCACAAGCAAATAAAGTAGAGTCTTTATCTCTTCATTCTTCTCTTTTATTATAAATATTTGCAACTTTGATACATTGCATTGTGTGGTTATGGATTATTGCTCACGACCTCCGATGTGCTACACAAACCGGAGAAATGTACACTGGTCCCGGTTTGGCATTGGGACCCCGTTGGTCCTGCTACGTAGACTGGTTGGCTGATGATATTCGTCAGACCGTAATTGCACACAAACAATTTATTGATCCATGGCGCTTGAATGTAGCTCACCATCGCACAGCCAATCCGGCTGGAGCGATCCGAAACGATTTGAGTAAAGTGTCCAATTGCCGGCCTGAAATGTACAACCACTGTGAGGATTTTTCAATTTATGAACATCACTTTTCTTCCGTACCCCTGATGGTTAGCTGGGTAGCTGGCAATGTGGGATGGGTTGGAATCTGCATACTCAGAAAACCAAGAATCGATGAACCCTTGAATAAGAACTTCATCCGAAATGTCCTGTCCGTAGAACATTTTTATGGCGATGTTCTGTCCAACGGCTCTCATGGTAGCGGTGTTCCGGCATCTGTCATGTGCGAATACGCAACGTCTCGCATTGGTGGCAGCAATATGTGCCAGCTCGTTGTCCCACTCCTGAGGAGAGTATTTTTAAAGATTTTCCAAACAAATTATTCTTTTAACTTTTGACGTACCAAAGTAGCCATCCGGGCAGCTGGTGGATAGAAGGCGTTCGTCACGTAGTTTTGGTTACCAAGAGCAACCCGGCTGCGCAGATGGTTGTGCTGATTCGTAATAAGCGCTTGCTTTGTGCTGTCCATGGTGACCTCGAAGGATCCTGCACCGCAGGAAGCACTCGGTCCGCTCAGCCCATTGCAAGCGATATGTGGTCCACCCGAAGGGCACAGTGCAGGATCGCAAAAGTTGGTGGTTTGACCCAGGGCGCCGATGGAGGCCAACGAAAAGATGGTCGCTGTTGAGGTGGTAAATGTTTAATTAATTGAACGTGTAATTTGATTAATGTTTGCTCATACCGATGAACAGGAACTTCATTGTTGGAATTATTTACTTGAACTGATAGATTATCCATTTTTCTGATCGCTTTTATAAAGCGGTGTAAAAACGTGTTCTTATTTACCTTTTGGCTTCTAATCTAATCAGTCTAACAGTTTAATGATTCCAAGAAATACGATTGTGGCGTTTTATAGATAGATTGCTGTTCGATAAGAGCATTGTTATTACAAACTCAATGGAGGCATTTTCGAGCGTTGTAAGACTTACCTAATCTAATAAGGTTTGTTTTTAAATTCGCTTACACCATCTATTTTATTGAGTGACATAGAAATATCGTGAAATCTTGATACGGCGTTCCAGGAAATAATACAGAGTAATTTTCAAATTTTCGCAAAGCTAAGCACTCGCCTTTTGTTATTTTGCGTATTCACGAGTTCGAAAACGTTTTTGAAGTATAATTTCCACCAGGAAACCATTGAATACGATTCATGAAGCATTTCAGTGCAAATCAGCAGTTTATATTCGAAAAATGTTCCTTATAATAAATCTTTTGCATATGCTTCAAAGCCGAATTGAGTTGTTTAATTTCGAAAAACATACCAGATTTTATACATTATCTGAAACAGTTTTGTTTTCTGAGCACCACGATATTTTTGTCGATCCCATAGACATTAATCTTGATTTGTAAATCAAGATTTGAATGTTTAATTGTAGACACTAAATCTATTCGTTGACAGCTCGTTCCCATACAAAGTCTCACTGAGGGGCGCTAAGATGGGAATTTTTGCTCATGTAATCGCACTTATTTAAAATAATTCCATTGCACGAAAATGGATGAAATTTTGGATTCAGGTTTCATTTTTAATGCCGTTTACGAATTTGTATTTACCTCAATACCCCTAAACAACCCAATTGTTGCACGCATCATTGGCATTGACATTTTATTATTGCACACTTTTTATCTAATTAATGCACATCCATTAAATATGGCTAAATGTATCTTAGTAAGTTTACCGAGATATTTACCATGGTTGATAGATGTGTTGCTACAGGTTGTTTTTCCACCAAAGTGGTTATTCTCCAAACAGGTCTGGTAGGACTAGACATTGTAAATAATAAATAAAATTTTGTCGATAACTAATGCTGAAAAAAAAAAATCTGTTGCACTTGAAATTTAATCATGTAAACCATCAAGAAATACAAGAAATAGAAATCATTTAAAAAGGCCGCTGGATTAGATTCCCAGACCGGTCTAGGAATTTTTCGAGCTTCCCTGGGTATAGAGTATGATTCCCAGACAATCAGAAGTCGTATAACAATGTACATACACAATCGTAAATTGCTACAGTTTAAGTCAACATCGCATATAGGAATGACCTAGATCACATTATGTTTAAGTTAAATAGTATAGAATGAAAATTTCATCATACTGTATAACAAGTTAAATCGGATTACGTCGTAAGGTTTTTCAAATTAAATTTGTTATTACAGATTAAATCGCATATGATGTTAAGTCAACTCGTTTAAAAATAAATTAAAATGTGCACGTGGCCTCCACTTTTGTACGTATACGCAATTTTTTGTATATCACATAAACAACTTTGAATATACGTGCATTTTGGTCGTCTGGGTTGTAGTTGGAACACAATAATAGGGTTAACTACCCCATTTCCGGCCTATTAAGCACAACCCGCACTTAGTCTTTCTTAATCTACCGCAGTTTTGCACCAAACGGAATGTTATTATTACTGATGGCTTCTAAATTTATTTACCTTTCCGTATGTACCGTAAGATTTGATAAAGAGAAACCAATCGTTGAGATATTCTCAAAAGTCTAACACTGCTTCTTGACGCCAAACTCGGCCTACGGATTCTAAACTCGGCCTAACGCATTGAAACGCCAATGAATTCACTTTGGCCTATCGGTTGAAGATAAAAATTGATTCGGTCGGAGCGCTTCTTTTGTTTTTGGGAATAATGGCTGCAAACCTTCATATCACGCGTACTCATTGACTTCGTTCCGTAACATATTAACTAAAGTATCGTACCAAACGCATAATTGACTTGTTAACTGTGAAATCATGGATATATTTGAAGTTTTCTGCTCGATAGGCCCAAAATGGGCTATTAGGCCAAAGTAGTTCCATAGAGGTAACTCTAAGACTAGTAGGTCCCGAAGAAACGTGCTCAACTTTTTGGTTCAGCTCTGGTACTGTCTTCGGTCCCAAGCAAATCCATGCACCCCTCAAAACATAGGAAAATTCACGAACCCCTCATTTTATCTGTCAAACTTTCATAGAGAATCAAAACAAACATACTGTAGTAAAAGAATTTCGACTAGAATGGGGTACGTTACTCGATTTGCTTGGGACCAATAGGCTAGTCAAGTAGTGAGCCAATTTAAAATCGATAGTTTCGTATTGATTGTTGGTAGTTCTCTACCCTATTAATGCAAAAAAGATACAGGCATGGAACGGAATGGAATGCTCTCAAAGAACACTAAGTTGAGGGTAGGCGTATAATCCCAGTGGGACGAAATAAAGCCAAAGAAGTAGTAAGGCTGTGAACCATTTGCCGAGTTAAATTTAACTCGTGGTTAAAAGTGACATTTCGAAAGTTATTTTCTATGTTCGAAAATCCCCGTGCTGTCGATCGACCGGTTTTCGAGCCACGGTTGTCAAAATTTAACTTCTTGTCTGTCAGAAATAACCATGCTCGGATAGCAGGGTTAATCAATAACTTTCCATCTGTCAAATTTTAACCAAAAGTTAAAAAAAAATCGCCAAATGGTTCAGAGCCTAAGTAGAACTATTCGAACCGTGATGTTTAGCGAAGTGTCGCAGCATAACAGTTGCATTCCCTGACGAGGGGGTGACGATTCTGAACATTTTCTGCAAAAAAATGATGGACGATGCAAGTAGATGCGAGTAGATTTTTCGTAGATTGATTCGCTAGTTTAAAATTTTTCGAGCATCTAGAATTGCGATCAATCTGGCCTTAATTTGGTATTCTTTTCAAACTTCCAATGTTTTTAATTGAGTGTTTTCTGAGTGTGTACCAGTTTTGATTTCGAATATTCTGTGGCAAGCATGCCCAGAAAAGTCGTGAAACCTTTCAAATTGAGGTGCAGGCAAACCTTGATTTATTTGTCTATGACCCAGAATCACTAAAATATCTACAAGGCTGGAATACTGCGATGTGTTATAAGCTAGGACTTCAATCATGTGTTTAATTCAAACATCTTTAAAAAAAATCAAAATCTCATAGTCTTATCATCACATTTCATATTATTTATATTATTTACCATTACATTCCATTTATATATATTACTAGCTGAGTGTGCCCGGTCTTGCTCGGGATTCAATATTAGCTTGAGTTTATGCGCCGATTTAAAAAAAAAGCATGCTATATTGTACGTAGCCCCCCCCCCCCCCCCTATTATCTAAGGGGCTACCCCCTATGATTATCTCCTTATACCCCCACACTCGCCCCCACATGCCTAATTTGGTTCCATTTGCTTGATTAGTTCTCGAGTTATGCAAAAATTTCTGTTTTATTTGTATGGGAGCCCCCCCTTACAGAAGGGGGAGGGGTTTCGAACCATCATAAGAACCTTCCACGGCCCCAAAAACCCCTGTATACAAATTTTCACGTCAATCGGTTCAGTAGTTTCCGAGTCTATAAGGGTCAGACAGACAGACAGACAGACAGACAGACAGACAGAAATTCATTTTTATATATATAGATTTAGTTATTCAGCTCAGGGATGCCAGGTGTATTTACAAAAAATCACATTGTTTTCACATGTCTCACCGCTACTTTTAAAATTTGTCAAGGGCAATTCAAAAAAGATAAGAGTACATCATTTGATTTCAGAGAACTTCGAAGAAGCTTTTAGGAGCTTCTAAAAAATTAAGGGAACGTTGTAGCATTTCAAGAAACTCCATAGATTGTCAAGAAAGATCGTAGAACTTTCGAAAACTCTGTAGACTTTAATTGAATTGCGTAGAGGTTCTGGAAACTTTCTAGAAGTGCAGCAAATTTTATGACCAGAACAAGAAGAACTTCAGAGAATTTTGTAGAATTAACCTCAGCAAGTTTTATAGTTGACTACTCATGGTCATATATAAATACAGAACACCAACAGACAACATAGGTCCTAATGATAGGAACAGTCGATTTAAGTAAAATGCAAAAAAAAAAAACAATAGTCGTACACAAATATATTAACATAATAATCAATCGTCTAAGCTAGAAAAAAATCGGGATAGGTGAAAATCGAAAACGGAAGCTACCCTATTGAACACTCGTTGTACACCGATCAAAGCACTATGTTGTCCGTAATTTGTTCGTCGGAAAGGTAGCCTCAGCATCGCATTGTTTCGCAGTACCCTGGGACGAACGTTCAAGTCAACCGACTCAAGAAGTAGGGCAGTCAATTCTTCCCTGCAACGGGTCCGCTACAACCATAGCCCTAGCGATGTTTCTGCGCGACTGAAGAGTTTCCAAATGAATTAATTGACATCGACTTCTGAATCTCGGTAACCGGAACGGATCTCGCCAAGCAAGCCGACGGAGAGCAAAACGAATGAAGCGGCGTTGAACAGTATTCGAGCGTTGAACGGACCAAAGAGCAGTACAATTACTTTAAACAATACACACTGGTAAAATCCTTGGCGACACGAAATATGAATCCCAAAGTCCTGGATGCCTTGTAAACGACGTAAGAAACATGATGCTTGAACGCTAGTTGAGCATCCAGAACAACTCCAAGGTCCTTCACATGGTCCACGCACTGTATAACGGAACCTTGGAGCTTGTAATCGAAGACGAGTGTTCGATGAATCCAAGCGAAGGAGATAACAGAGCATTTTTCAGGATTATAGATCACTTGATTTAATGTGTACCAAGCCATGACACAGTGGTTCCTGGCTGGCCAAAACCTCAAAAATTAAAGATGTTATTTTTTTATTTCAATATCTTTTATCATTTTTACATGTTAAGAGTATCTTAAATTGAATGATTTGTGCAGTTCTGTT